TATATCTTCAACCTGGAAAATACCGGACGATCCGACTGCCCGCGTTCCGAAAGTTGATGCGGCCGTCGACCGTATGGGCTGGACGCGGAGAGCGTTGGGTCACTCAGGTGTTGTATTCTTGGAAAGTTCCTGCTGCTATCAAGGTGGTCAAGGTGTCCGACCGCATTGTCACTATCGACTGGCGGACTGAAGTCGCCCAAGTGGTCAAGAATGACTTATTTCCGAGAGCGGGACGTTATGTGCGCGTTGGTACGCGAAGATATAGGGAAGGGCAAACTCTCATTTATGAGAATACTGTATCTGCTAAAGCCCAGGCTCGAGAGTCACAGCGCCTAGACGACCTTCAGAAGATGGAGCCACCGGCCGTCCAAACACCGAACTACCCGTGGCCGACAAGGATGATGGTCCGGCCATCACCGGGTCGTGAGGAAGCACGAATGATCAACCTTCATATAGTCCCGAGTGAAGTGTATGAGGAGACATCTGAAGGTGGTGAGCGATCGTCAATGAGGACGCCAGGAGGGGCCACGACAATACCTGAAGTGAGTGAGATTGCAAAAGGTGAGGATGGAACGACAGGCGTCCCAACGGGCGATCTTGAGGAAGGGGGGGGATGACCAAGACTCGGACGAAGATGAGTTTTTCGACTCGATCAGTGTTGACGTTTGTTTTCCAGAAGTTGACTTCGAGGACCTCCCAAAAGCGGAACCCGAAGATGATGTCTTTTTGGCTTGCCGGTGTCGGTGATGGCTTGTACGCCAGTTCAGCAGCTCGAGCTAGAGTACGACCGTGTCATGCGAATAAGTGCCGAAGAATTGGACCTCGAACCCGCAGTGTATATTCATGAAGGGAGCGAGACATTATCCCAACTCCGAGAACTACTTGCGTTGCTTCCGGATATCGAGGAACTATCTCCGAAATGTGACATTGATTTAGCAGACGTTGGCGAATCTGGGATATATACTCCAGAAGATGAGCGAAAATGGCGAGCGATCCTAAAGTACCATCGAGCCATCTTTCTCGGAGATGGGAATGCAGTTCCAGCTCCGGCGCGAGGCGTGATCTGCGACCTGGATGTCGGAGAGGCAAACCCTGTTGTGCAACGTCCCCGATCTGTTGCGCCACACTTATCAATCAAAGTGTATGAACTGCTGAAGAAGCTTTTGGAAACCCGACTCATCGAGCACTCAGAATCACCATGGGCATCACCCATTGTGATTGTCCTCAAGAAAAATGGTGTGGATATTCGAATGTGTGTCGACTACCGAATTGTCAATGGATTCATTACGTTGTCCAATTATCCTCTACCGTTGATATATGATCTGCTGGTTGGGTTTGAGGATGTCATGTGGTTTATGAGTTTGGATATGGCGAGCGGCTTTTGGGTGGTCAAGATGTCCGAAAGAGCAAAGCTAATATCGGCTTTTGTCTGCCCATTTGGACATTTTCAATGGACTCGTATGCCATTCGGAATCAAGAATGCGCCATTGATATATCATTCGGTTATCAACAATTGTCTATGGGGATTTGTGAGATTGCCCCCGGAAGAAGAAGCAGAAGTCGATCAAGATGTCTTGGATCTCCTAGGTTTGGACCCTACAGACAATCAAGAATAAAAAAATGGAGACGAAGTGATGGGACTCACAGATTCCATGACTGTTTTCCAAAGGAACATCCCATGCCCTCACATATTGGCCCAGTGCTAGGGCGCAGTTCTTACATTGATGACATTGCTCATGGTGCGAAAACATGGGATCAGCTTTGTGAGGATCTGGATACTTTGCTCTATCGCCTACGTTACTGGAATATATCGGTGAGTTTACCAAAGAGGGAGTTTGGAAAACGATCAATCCCCTATCTGTCACACGAAATTAGTGCGGAAGTAACCCGAGCGACCCCAAAGGTTGCGAAGGGTGTTATGGATCTACCGTTCCCCAAATCTCACAAAGGTGTGCTATCGTTTCTTGGAAGTCTGAACTACTACCATAAGTTCGTTGAAGACTTTCCGGTAGTGGCAGCAGTCGTCTATGAACTTTCAGAAGACCAGATACGTCAGGGACGAGACCTCTCTCGAGCTCATGAATCATTCGAACTGCTTAAAAGGAAAATCGTTGCAACGCCAATGTTGAGACATCCGGACATCCAAAAACCATTTGTGATCATTCCGCACGCGAACCGTTGGGCTGCTTGTGGAGTCGTAGGACAAGAACACGGCGGAAAGATACAACCCGTTCGGTACACGGGGCGCGTCCTGAATGATGCTGAACTCCGGTATCACATTGCCGAGAAGGAAGTGATAACCATCCTGAGGGCGTTACAGGTTTTTCGGACTATTCTGGAAGGCCGACGACGGATCATCTACACAAGATATCCTGTTCTGAAATGGATGATACAGTCTAATTCGGCAGATGGGAGGTGTGTTCCTTGGGGAGTCACGCTCTCACATTGAGATATCGAAATTCGAAAAGTCCAAAAAGATGAAGACGGACTTGCAGCCATCATGGGTGCAGGGATCACATCACGAGAGCATCTGGACGAGGCTGTCGAAACGTTGATCCCTCTGAAGGGACATGTTCGAAAGCCCCCAGTAGTGAGCGTTGAAATGTTGCGAAGTGACTTCCAAGGAGTCGTTCTAAGTTTTGACGGTGCCGCAAAGCGCTCCACCAAGGAAGGAAGTTGTGGTTGTGTGTTATGGCAGCTGCCTGATTGGAAGATTCTGAAAGCGAAGGGCTTCCTTTTAGAGAATGTCACTGTAAATGATGCCGAGTACCATGGACTTCTCGAAGGACTCAAGATGGCCATCGAAATGAGGTTGCAAGACTTAGTCGCAGTTGGAGATTCTCGAATTGTTATTCAACAGGTTCAAGGACTGATCAACTGCAATCAATCACATCTCCAAAAGCATCTTGCTAAAGTTGAGGTATTGAAAAATAAGTTCGGATCGTTACGTCTGGACCATCTGAAGCGGGAATACAATTAGGCTGCTGATTATTTGACTACGAAGACCTTGATTCTGGACGAGTCATGGGACGTCACCGACACGGCCAAAATTGCGCACTTGGAGCACGTGTCCAAAATCGCAGAGAAACTCATGAAGGTGGAAGACCTCGACAGGAAATCCGGAGTTGATCTAACCTCTGGGGAAGTACTGTCAAGAGACGTCGAACAGCCTACTGCAGAGTATCGACAAAATCAGCCGCGTGCTTGCAGCAGTAACGCGTTCCAAAAGCCAAGCCGAATCCACTTCGAGGGACCGACCTATGAACCCTTTGGAATTCCAAGCTGAACGATGGCGACGCATCCGGGCGCATCAGGACGCAGATGAGTACCTGTCAGAGATTAAAGACTTTCTGAAGGAGGACTTCGAGACGTTTTCGCCCAGAAGACTGAGAAAGGTTGCCAAGGTCGCCGATCTATTCGTACTGGACACTAGGGATGTGTTGTATCGACTAGCTCGCTCGACTCGCGATCGCCCGCGTGGCTTTCAGGATGAACCTCGACTCGTCGTTCCAAAAGCTCTCAGGGACGATGTCTTACATTACGGTCACGAAGACTTTCAAGGAGGTCACCAAGGCATCACCAGGGCCCATAAGAGGTTATGCTCAGAATTCTACTGGCCTGGGATGTACGCGGATGTAGAACACTTTGTGAAGGAATGCGTTGATTGTGCGAGTGGAAAAGGAAGACCTCCAAACGCGGGACCATCGCCCGGGAATATTGAACCCCGACGACCTTTTGAAGTGGTTTCGATGGACTTCGTGACTAACATGCCAAAGTCCGACCAAGGGAATTCGTTTTTGCTACTATTCCAAGATATGTTTTCTGGGTATGTGATGTGCAAACCGATGGATTCAACCACCGCTCAGGATGTCGCGGAAGCTTATGCGGAGCGTGTATTCCGGAACTTTGGAGCGAGTTCAATGATTCGGCACGATCAAGACCCCCGTTTTATGAGCGAAGTGTTTACTCGTTTTCGGGAACTCCTGAATTGTCGTCAGAGAGCCAGTTTGGGATGCCGACCTCAAGCAAATGGATAACAGGAACGATCTGTCCAAACGGTTGTCAGGAGTATTCGTGCCTATATCGAGCAAGCCGATCAGAGTGACTGGGACGACCGTGCGGAAAGGCGGATGTTTGCTTTAAACACCTTGTTCGACGCGACACGTTTAGATACCCCATTCTACTTGATTCACGGTTGGGACCTACAAAGTACTTTGAAAGCGATGTTGGGTCCGACACCATCAAGTGTACCCAAAAGGACTGCTTATGAGTGGAGACGAAATGTTCAGAGAGACTATAGCTACGCGAAAGCGTGTGCCGAGGACTTGCAGAACAAAGCCCGACGACATCGTTCCGACCTCCAGACGCAAAAGTGGAAAGAGTTATGCGAACGCCTGAAGTCAGGATTTCAGAAATGGGATGCCGTATGGTTATACATCCCTAAGGTGCAGACTGGGCTAAGTAAGAAGTTGACGCACTTATGGCACGGGCCTTTTCGAATTGATAAAGTGTTGGATGATTTCAGAGTGAAACTGAAAGTTGACAGTACCGGTTACCGGGTCAATCCATGGGTTCATATTAGTCGTTTGAAGCCAAGAGCGTTGTTTTCCAAAAGATCGACAGTCAGTGTGGATGTAGATGAAGAAGATGGTTTCGATGCTGCGTTACTCCCTGAAGACAGTTGGGAAGCCGATGTCCAAAAGGATGAGTATGAGGTTGAGAAGTTTTTCGGATCTCCGATGATCTAAGAAAACTCGAACCTCGAAAAGGGTTCGGGAGTACCTTGTCAAGTGTAAGAATTATGACGATCCAGAATGGCTTCCTGCGTCTCAATAGAATTGTGGAGCTTTGCTCTATGAGCTTAACCAAGGTGCACGCGCTCGAGCCCGCTTTCGAAGTATGCAGGCCGGAGATGATCATCCCCAAAATTAACGTTTTGAAAGATGAGCGTAAGGTGCTGCATGTATGTGGGATAACAAAAGCCGCTGTGAGAGTTGTCTGTGATCCAGTCTTTTGGGGGTGTATAAGACTTCTAAAACTAGAGTCGGAAGGCATGACAGAAAACGAAAAGAAAAGATGACGTACTTTGGGGAAATTAAGATTGATATGAATTGTGGAAGAGTGCATCCAAAAGAGCTACACTCGGCAGATTGCGCTAGGCGCGGTCACCTAAATGTCCTCAGAGAGTGGTTCCCATTCCGCCTTTGGAAGGATTTTCTTGCGAACAACTTCCGGAAGGTGGGCGATCTGTTCCTCGACAGTGGCGCAATTGGTCCATTGAAGGCGAGCCGGATCGGCCTTGTCCAAGCGTCGCAGTTGCTCGCGCAGTGAGTACGGTTTCTTGGTGACGGGGTCGAGTTGATTCTTGCCCATGAGAATCCAATGACAAACGCGGTGGGGAATGTCCCAGACGCTAGCTTCCCACTCGAAGACAGTTTCCGGGACGCCCTTTTGAACGCAACGCTTCTTGAGGGACCGACCCTTCTTGACGAGAGATTCGTGACGCTTGCTACGGCGAGATTCGGCTAACACCGCTGATTTTGGGAGGAATCCCAAAAGAACGATGATCCAATGTAGCATTTCCCATTGATGGCGCATCGACTCACACATATACTCGACCCATGAGTCGAGGGCGCCTTGCGCGGCCAGAGTCATTTCGGAACGCTTGTGGAAATACAATAGATTTATGTCTTGCCACGGAGCCTCTCGATAAATTTCCCTATACTCCTCGAAATACTCTGCAAAACGTCTTTGGAGGATTACCAAGTCATGACGATCTCATAACTAGTAACCTTGTAGCCTGTCTGTCCGTCATTCTGTCC